CACCATACATGTATGACAGAGCAAAGGGACATAAATCATCTGACAGCCGCGGTCATGAGTCAGAGTTATTCTGAAGCCTCTGCTAGAGATACTCATCAGTTATGACTAAAAGGCTGGAACCAGCATGTCAAATGTCCAAATGTCAGCGGGACAGGGAGAGAACAGGAAGAGTGTGTGTTTGAAAGTGCGTGTGTAGAAAGAGTGAGAGAGAAAGGTTGAGAATAGAGACTGAAGAGTGAGGACGAAATCAAGAGCAGCGACGGTCCATCTGGGAATATTTGAGCACAGAGGGAATATTGTAGCAGGTGATGGGCTGTGAAGATTGTACTGTACCTGATGGAATATTCACCCTCCATCAAACATCACCATCAGTTTAAACAAGTGCACCCTGTGGAAGAAATACTTTCACAGAACTGTAGGGAGGAGATATTGATTCAGTTGTCTCTTTTTGAATTTAAGAGAGATACAAAATACAGAGTTTGTATATTTGTATCTGTGTTGAAGGTGGAAGTAATCACGTTGGCTTTACTGTGCTGACATCCAGCTCAATAACACTGTTTATGTAAAGGCTGGAACTTTTTAATTGCTTTTGCCAAGAAATACAAGATCCTGTAGAACTTGTTGTGTGTTAAAAATGTTGTCACCAAAATACCATTGAAATGAAAGTTATATAATAAAAAACCATTCACTTTTCAGTACTTCAGCATGTGGACTAAATGTAGTTTTAATAGGGCCTGATGTCTTTTCATCGCTTAACATCAGCATGCTGTAGACTCTTAGTCTTGTTTTTCATTAAGTGTTGCAGTACAAACTCCCAGAAAGCACAGAAGTCACCTTAAATAATCGTTATATAAGACATATTGATTGCAAATGAGTTATCTGTATACAACATAATCAGTGTCCTTTCAAGTCAGGGAAATGCAGAAGGGAAACTGATTACATGCTTTAAACTTTAAATCTCTTTCCTCTTATGTGTTTAAATTACAACAAATTAGTGTCTGACGGAGTAACAGTCAAGAAGGAAATTGAAATCCTTTGGAAACACTATCTTCAGCAGTCACACGACTTATCATCATTTATGAGGCCGCTCATGTGAAACCAGCCAGATCTCATCTTGTGTTGACGATGCAGGAGCTGATTGATTGTTCAGATGCACTTTGGATATATTTGGCACATTCTACGCTTGCTTCACAATAATGAGCAGAGCAAAGCAGCTGCAGGGTTCACGTGTAACTTTTCTCTGACTCACCTGCTTCTCTTCTCCACCTCTGCATCTGTATGCGTGTCTGCGTGTGAAGGCTGTGTGTATGTGACATGGACAGACTCGGACGAAATGAATTCATCGGAGAGGTGAGAGTGGCTCTGAAGAAACTGAGAGAGGGTGAGAGCAAACGCTACAATATGGGCCTGGAGAGAATTGCACAGGTATGCGTGTATGTGTGGCAGTGCTCGGACTGTTCACATAAATATAAAATGGGTTTCTGTGGACATATATATCAAGATGTGTCCTATTTCCATTGTGCATGTTTGCCCGGGGGGCTATCAGGCATCAATTTGAAATGCTGCATTATGAAGTGTAATAGATATTCACCTGGAGGCTCTGTATGCTATAACCACAATGTCTCTCTCTCTCTCATTTCAGAATAAAGAAACTAACAATCAAGCAGTGGAGCAGGGAGCAGTCGTGGCAGAGGAGGAGGTAAACCTATTATCACCAATCTTATTATTTCCATTTTGAACCGAAACATGGCTCACTGTAATTTCCTATTACTCGCCTATGTATAATACAGTTTCTTTTCTTTCTAATTCTAATCCATCCTGTATTTAAAAGAAAAAACTTTTTAAAAAAAATGATTAGTCCTTTTTAATCAGTATATGTGTCTATGGCATGAACTCTTAATAGACTAGTGTGAAGGGAAACTGCTCACAGGAGTCCATATAGCAACATGTTGTAAATTACACCTGGCACTGACGGTCCAGTGTTTCCCTACTCTGGTGGTCTTTATCTCATTTCTCTTCGTGATTTCAGAGACAGGGGCTAATAGCTTTTGGTCTCTGATTAGAATCAGTTTATGGTTCAACCTGGAGATTAAAAGGAGGAGGAAGCAGTGTCATTTTGCCAGGCTCAGATTAGGCCTTTAATTACAAGCTTTAATTTGAATACTCTCTTTGTCCATACAGACACACCTACCTATGCTAGGTAGTGGAAATGTTGCAACAAATCACATCTATTTTCCTTTTAATTACATTTGAATTTTTTTTATTCTTGTTTGAGTGAAATATGTTTTGGAGAAACTGCATTGACCCTGGTCCAGGATTCCCCACTGTGTGTTCACTGAAGAGGGAAACGTCAGGTTAAAAAACAGGTGCTGTGTCTGACACGGTTGTTTTCTGTGTCCCCAGCGTGGCCGCATCCTGGTGTCACTGTGCTATAACACAGAGAAGAGCTGCCTGCTGGTTGGGATCATACGCTGTGCCCATCTGGCCGCCATGGACTCCAACGGCTACTCTGACCCCTTTGTCAAAATGTAAGTCATGTCAGATATTCATGAACAAACCTGGTATCCTACAAATTATGCTCATATGCAGCTTTTCTGCATTAGCAGTTCACATTCAATGGCAATGCTCTCTGTCAGTGCAGCAAAGTGATGTGGTCTTCCTATAATACAGTGAAAAAGTCAAGGCGTGTTAGTTGGCATGGTGGAATCATTAATTGTTCCAGTTAAAGGATAATTCCGATTTATTTGAACCTGGCTTATTTCCTTAAATGTGGCTATTGTGACTCTGTGGGTCATGCTAACTTTGCTCACGCCACCTCAATGTAGAGATTTAGGGAAAGAAGGATTAGTGCAAAACAACAAGTATCAGAGCGAGCTGCACAAGCCTACAACAAGTATCTACCTGGAATAGGCATGTTGGCTAATTGCATATCAATCTATGTTGTTTCATGCGAACCATTGTTTCCCTTAATCCCTGAATGCAAATTTAGCATGACAGACTCATGCATGGTTGTACATTTGTGGGAAATAAACCGAAATGTCGTATGAGAGCGGTTGGTCATGGTTGACCTTTTTAAAATCTGAGCTTGATATAGCATTTTTCTTGATGTTGGTTTTGGCAAGGCACCATATATAATATTGGGATGCACATACAATACTTTGTGGCTGTGATTTTCTGACCTAGTAGCTAATAAACTATATCCATTAATTGCCTTGTGTGGATTCTGAAGGAACATTTAATTAAAAACATGTTGGGTAATCAGTATAGGCCCTTCGCCAAAATAAAATGTTCAATCAGTGGGCAGGGGCCGTTGACCTGACATTATTAGCTAAATGCATGCTGAAGAAGGTAGACACACTTCATCCCTTTAATGAGCTTTATGGACACGTCCACTCACCACTGTGGAACAGCATGCTGAAATGTACATGTACTTGTTTGGCCAATCAGGGGGAGCCAAAAACCCAACCCAATACAGGCTATTTGGTTGTCATACCCAAACCTATTCACCTATTCACATTCTCATAGTCAAGAAGCAGAGTCTGAATTCTATACTACTATATATCTATACTAATTGTGAAAAAAAAAAAAACTTGTTATCATAGCGTAACGCTGGTTACTCTTAGCGCTTACTATACACTTGATAGTTACTATATGCCCACCGAATACCTTCAGGTCGTGCGCGGTGACAGTAAGAGCCGGCACGAACTTCATCTTGTTACTCGATCCACCTTTAAATCGTCCTAACAACAGTAGCGACAACTGAACACTCTCTTTATCACTATCACTCCGCCAATCTTTACACCATTCGTAACATTCCAGGTACCATGGCACCTTATGTAGTTCCTCATCTACATTGCAAACAGAATAAAAATATGCTGTATATACTGTAATACCTTAAACAAAATAAATCTCATCTTACAATAGTATACTGTTTTTGTATTTAATATACACAAAAACAGCATTCTTTGTTGTTTTGTAGTAGCAAATTAAATTCAACAAATTTTTTAGTTCGAACTGTGCCTGCAAAATGCCACTGCCAATTTAATTTCACAAAGAGAAATTAAAGCCAGTAAAATGTTTCTCTAACAATATAATACTGTATTTTTTATTTGTTCATGGAGCTGACCATAATTACTTACATTTTTTGTCCAGTTGTGAGCAGCTCCTCCATTTCTTTTGTACATTTCATTTGGGCACAATAATGTAGGCTACATTAATAGCAGTGCTGATTTTTTGAGTATACTGATTATTGTTGCTTGTCCACCGTGAATACACCATGTAATCTACTAAGAATTAGTGTGACGCATGGACACAGGTTAGAGGGCTCTGAGGCTGCTCATAGAACCCGCAGTTACAGTGAGTAACCTTTATTCTATTTCACACACGCTTCACCCTTTTACCAGCTTGACGGGATTGTGGGGGCGAAGCCAGATGCCCCGCTCTGACACCAGCATGGTACAACACCCACAAACCTAGAAAACGCCAAAGTGTGGGTGACTCATATAAAGCCATTATAAGCCTGATCGGCCTCAGACACGAAAACTCAAATGTTGTCTGAAACAATTAATCGATTAATACATTTGTCGACCGACTAGAAAATTAATTAACGACAATTTTGATAATGGATCAATTGTTTGTTTCTGTGTCATTTATCAAGCAAATAAAGGGAGATATTCACTTGTTCTAGCCTCTCCAGTGCAAGTGCTGTTTTATCTGATTTCTATCACTGTAACACATCATTATCACATCTTTGGATTTTGGAGGTTGGTGAGATAAAACAAAGAATTGTAAGGGGGAATTATTACATGCATACATTTTTTAGACTAAACTATTAATTAATCAAAACAAGAATCAGTAGATTAATCAGTAATGAAAACAGTAAGTTGTGGCCCTAGACTTACAGCCAATGCAGTTCTTTTCAAAGTTCAGAGCCGAGAAAAGGCAAGCTGTCCGACACACCTGAGGTGGTGACAGATAAAACCCACACAGCTCAATCTCTGATCTTCCTGGTACACTTAAATACCCACAGTGCAGGGAGTGAAAGAGCTCCCACACAGGACAAACAATCCCGTAACGAATGCCACCTCCTCCAGTAGTGGGAGGCTTCAAGGTAGAAGGAGCACCGGGTTGCTGAAATTGCTTTTGAAGGAAGTTTTAAAGCAGCTTTTTAGTTCCTTCAGTTGATTAGACTGTGATCCAAGATGGAATACAATTATTTAAGGTTCAGTAATAGATGAGCTACACTTGGCTTGGTTTTGACCCGTTTTTAGCTGGAGGATGATGGTAAAAGATGCAGAAAAAGAGGTGGATTAGCTTGACTATCCCTTGTGTGCTTGATGTAGGTTTATCTAGAAAATGCTTCTGCTGGCAGCACATAAGAGAATGTGCACTGGTGTCATTCAGAGACTTTCGTTCGCTTGTTTCTTTTGATGTGTTACAATTACACTATTTCTTATACATATTTTTCATTTACTGTTTTGAACCTGACAGGAAATATCAACTGATTAGCGTGTTTGACGTGCATGGCCACATGATGCATAGTTTGAGATCTCGGAGGTGTGCTCTTTGGTGCCTGTGTGAAGTCCAGCTTTACATGACAAACTCGCTAGCCGCAAGCACAGTGAATGGGGAGACTGATAGATGTATGATTTATTGTCCTCCATAGAGGAAATTTGTTTCCATAGCCTGTACAAACGTAAGAAAATCAATCAACACACAACACAAAGAAACATCATCAGATCAGAAAATGTCATTGTAGAGGGCACAGACAAACAACGTATTTGGTAGTTTAATTTAGAAGACTCTGAATGAAGGGGACAGCAATTACTGTACTAAAATACATTTTTACCTGATTGTGTTTTCAGTAGGTTGTGTAATATTGAGAAAAACTTTTTCAATACTCACCCGTAGCTTTGAGACTTTGAAGGTCTTCTGTACTTCTGTAAAGAGATGAAAGAACAAACAAAAAAAACAGAGAGGAAGCGCACGTCTTATAAAAAAGAAAAAACTCTTTCTCTTGCTCAGACACACACATACGTGGATGTGTTTCTTCTTTCTCTGCAAGGTATTTTGATATACAGTGTTTTGAGCACACCAGAAAATTACATATGCACCCAAAGTATCTACCTCTTCCTCTTCTTTCTGTCACTCTTTTCTCCCTACTTACTATGTTGCATTGTATTCCTTTTTGTTGTGTCTCCCTCCTCTTGGTCCCTCCACTGACTGTTTCTTTTTTGTACAAACTCTTAGTTTACATGATTTGCTTAAGCCACTCTGATCTGATTCTTATTTCTGACACTTAAGTTGTTTGGATTTTTCATTTGTCTGCCTGCCAGAGTTTCCTTTTGTTCTCTTTTGTACAAGAGAATCTATGTGTTCACTACAAAGAGCCTGCTTTACCTCAGTTCAGTGGTTAGTCTGCAGAGTACATAACTGTCTTTCAATATACCCTTTTGTGATTTCCAACATAATTAATGCTGTGAAGCTTTTGTGAAGTTAGCAACAAAAAACCGGGTGAATGTATTCTTGGCGTAGGTAAATTGTGTCTCCTGCGTATACTGAACAATTATGTCCATATAAGGAAATTGATTTGCTTAGCTAGCTTTCTGACTTATACTTCACTGTCAGAGCAGTGATGTCCTGCAGCTGTAACACCAGCAATCCTCCTGAGGAATCTGTAACTAAAGCTGATGTTGATGTCTCTTTTGCTGTATGTGCATGTGTGTATGTACATTTGTCCAGAGGGCTTTTCCAAATGGTCTTTTCTCTCTGTGACTCTCAATCAGCCTTTAGAAGCCATTCAAGTGACACAAGGTCAGAATTATCTCAGAACTAATTTGTCTTCCATTTAAAAGGGCAAATTAGCATTTAAAGACTAAATGAGTTTGCATCCTTCAGAAGAACCCCCATTCCTCTCCACTGTTCTTCACACATTACCTAAAATGAAGAAAAGACATGTGAAGGCAGAAAAAGTGCAAAACATGTCAGATATTTTCTGCTGACCAAGCACACTGCCATCCTCTACAATTTTGTTCTCTCTCTCTTTTTTCCTCTGAAAAGTGTGTGAAGTGCAAATCACGGCTCCTCTCAGCAGCAGGCATATATTTAGCTCCTCTTTCCAATTGTCACTCATTCTTTCTATCACTTTTTTTTTTGCGTCTTGTGTCATAACTTTGGTTTCTGTTTTTAACATTGGCTCGCTCCCCATCTTCTCTCCCTCTCACGTCTGTATTTTTGTTGTTCCCTTCTCTCATTTACAGGGATGCTCTCGTTCTTCTGTTTGTCACTCCGTAATCTGTCAGGATGGTTTTAGGTACCAAATTATTGTGTCCCTTGCAGTTAAAGAGTTGTCAAGTTGTCATGTGATTGAGTCATGTGGGTCCAATGGCATCAAGGGCAAAGACAGACAAGATAGATAGATAGATAGATAGATAGATAGATAGATAGATAGATAGACAGACACCCTGACAGGATGTAATAGATATAGTACCATGATGTTCGACATTTAGATAGATAGATAGATAGATAGATAGATAGATAGATAGACTTTATTGATCCCAAGCTGGGATATTGCAGACAAAGTTAAAAAACACGACTGGAGTGGTGGCCACAAGCTGCCGCCTGAGGCGGCGCCAAGATTCCCAAATATGTCACTAAGTATGTAGAATATTTAATTTTTAATATTTCTTATATGTACCTTTGACATAATTATTTGTCACTGCAATCATTCCTCCTGTACATAGTGCTGGCAAAGAGATCCCCAGTGTAAACCCAAATTGATGCTTGCCACATCCAAATGGCCACCAGGGTCCACATGACATCAGCTGCGTACTGTATTCCACATCTTTGGTACTATTCTTATTAAGCAGTCACATACACCTGTTTTTCAGCTAAATACAACAAATAAAGAAGCTCTTCTTAATATTGTGAGGTCACCATCTTGTCTTCTTGTGTGCATGTGTGGAACACATCTGTGTACAAACAAGGGGCAGAGCCTGACATTGTATACAGGCCTTTGCCAGGTGATCTGAGGACATGAGCTTTTTTCCCCATATACAGCAGCTATATGCACTATGTCCATGTCGGTATTGTAGTATGAACAAACTTTATGACATGGTGATTCTAAAGCTGAGCTCATTGTGAGCTAATATAATGCCATAGCAGTTTGAGTTAACCAAATCAAGTCAGTATCTTCAGGTTACAGATGCTTTTGTATATATGTATATGTATATATATATACATATATATATATATGAAGGATATAGGAACATAAAGAGGGCTTTGTAGTTGTACCTTGTTATATAAAAATATTGTATTGAAAGATATTCAAGAAATAATTGCAGTGACTAATACCTCTTTCAATGCACATATAGGCAAGACAGACTTAGAGCTGCTAACTCTAGTATGAAGTATGAACATCTTATATTTTTTGTCGAGACATGTTTTGAAGCTACAGTATTAGAGTAGTAATTCTTAACATGAGTCATGTCCATACTTGTCCACATTGTGCCACATGAGAAAAACAAAATTTGGAACAGTATCTAAACATCATTGTCATTATAGAGAAGAACAGCTGTCAATCCCTGTTAACCTTATCAGTCAGTAGAGGCCTGTGACACATGGCTAAAATAGTAAATGTGTACAGCTCAAAAATATATGGTTAGTTAGTGTACTGTATTTTGCAGTGATCAACCTACTTTTTAAGGAAAACAGCTAACAAAAAGTGGAGGGATAATCCTCCCTATCTCTGTAGACCAGCCTTCCGTGGTATGAATTATTCTTCACATTGAATTTTCTACAGTAATTCGAGCATAGTTTGGTTGCTGCTGTGCGGAATATTTTTATTTATGCAATTGTTATTAGAGATGTTGCCGTAAAGATGATGTTTTGTTATTCTGGGAATTGGAATCCCCAGTCTGAACAGCCTTGGAGCCGTATGTAAAATGTGATTTGGCAAAGCTCAGACTGAGATGTCCCCCAGGCTTTCACCTCACCCTCTCACATGCTGCTGGTCAAATAGAGGCTTTGTTTGGCTGCCTCTCTCAATTGATTTCCTTCTTTCTTCTCGTTTCTTTTCTTATGAGAGCAGTCAGATTATTGTTATAAGCACCAGGTTTGGAGGGTAAATGCTGATTAGCTCATGGAGAAAATGACCTTTTAAAACACAATAAACACCTAACAGCCTGTGACAATGGTGACACAAAGTTGTTTGGTAACATGTCATCAACTGAATGGCTGAAACTGGAACACTTTAATCTGGGGTGTAATAGGTACACAGTAGGTTTATTTCTACTATACTAAAGAATAACTACTGTCCTTCCAGAGGGCATTTCACCAAAGCAGAGAGACAGCTGAATAATCTCTAAAGGTGTCTTTATCTGGCCTAAATAACCAGTATACTAACTGCATAACAGATGCACTGATTGTATCTACTAAAACATTTTCAACTCGTATACATGTTTTCCTGCCATCATTTGTGTTTTGGTTGCGACTACGTGCGCATTCAGCTACCAAGGCATGCCTCCCTTAGTCCCTTGGCCAGTCAAGCCCCATGTGTTTGGAACCCTGGGGTTTACTGTTGAAAACCAAATAAGGCTGTGAACATCTGGACATTCATGAAATTGAGACTCCTTTGGTCATTGTCTCTTAGTTAGGACTGACATTAAACCATGTGTTTGCATCTTTTGGTTTTCAACAAGTAGGAGGACAGAAGTTATAATTGTCTCTGACTGCACAATTGTTTAATTTATTGTCTCTGAAACTACAACTTTAGCCCAATCATTTCAAATCATGAATAATCACATTTTCAGTGCCAACACCGTACAGTGGCTCAGGTTTTAATGTCACCACATTGCTTTCTGTCAGTTTCTCCTCCTCCACCTCCTGTTCCTTCTCCTCCTCCATCCCTCCATCCTTCACTTGCTCTGATTCCGGCTCTGCAGTGACAACCCCAAGCCCATCTCATGCATCTGCTGTCAGGCCAGGATTCGTCACTGGTGGGAGGGTGGGGAGGGGGAGGCTGGAAGAGTGAGATATCTCACCGCCTGTACATCTTGACTTGGAATTTATGCTGATGATGACTCCCATTGCCCTCTAGCGATCCTTCTGTTGCCTCTTTGCTGGAGCGTATAGTCCTCTAACATTGCCATGATTATGATCTTGCTGTGGTCTACTGTCTCTTTCTCATTCTCTTTCTGTTTTTCTTTCACTCCCTCACTGTCCCTGTCTTTGTTCAAAAGACGTCTGGGTCACAGTTATCTGTGAAAGAGATTTTGCTAACTTTCTGTCTCCCTTGGTTTCTTCCATTCAGCAAAGTTTACTGTCACAACAGGGCAAAAGATTAAAACAGTAAAGGATTAATTACTTTGATCTCAGCAATAATGATTGTCCTGTTAGGAAAGTAAAGCGCATTGATTATGTCTCATTTACAGTTACCCCTTTTACCCTGCTCATATATAGCTACAGCCAGCAGTCGGTTAGCTTAGCTTAACACAATGATTGAAAATAGAGCGAAACAGCTAACCTGGATGGGTCCCTCTACCTTTAAATCTCACAGTAACATGTGTGTTAATCCCTGCAAAAACCAAAGTATAAGACAAGCTGTTTCCAGTTGTAATGCTGAGCTAACAAGCTGCTGGCTTTTTAACTTTTAATGGATTCTGACTATTGATCTTCTCATCTAACTCTTTACCAGAAAGAAAATAAGCGTATTTCCCAAAATGTCACACTATTCCTTTAATTTCAAGCTATGCGTTATCGTGAGGTTGAAATGAATTTGTGCAAGGTCCCAATTAATTCATGTCCTCTTTAGTTTTAGCTCTCTTTGTTCTCTCTTTCTCAGCATCTTGCAGCCAGATATGGGGAAAAAGTCCAAGTACAAGACTTCAGTGAAGAAAAAGACTCTCAACCCAGAATTCAATGAGGTACAACTTATCTCCTGCTGTACAAATAACTACAATACACCTGTGGTGTATTTGACATTTAGTTGAGCATGGCAATTAAGCATACCTTTTTAAAAGTACTTCTGTAAATCTGACATTTCCTTCTCAGCATCAATCTGCATGCTTGTACTGAAAATGCACTAAATTACATATTCAGTTCCTTTCAACTCTCGTGTTTATGAATCATTGATATAAATATGCTCTTGTGTGCGCCACCTGCACAGGAGTTTTCATATGATGTACCTGTGGACCAGCTGGCAAAGAAAACCCTGGAGATCTCTGTGTGGGACTACGACTTGGGAATGAGCAATGACTTCATAGGTAGGCTGTGAAAAACTGTGGTGTGGAGGGGAGGAGTGGAGACGAAAGCTGCGGCAGCAAAGTAGATGACTGTACAAGAGTGTTTGATTGAAAGTGGTGCAATTGCAGAAAACATAAAAACCAGGCCGAGCGTAGGCGGAGAGAAGAGTAAAAAAAAAAAATGTGGAGAAATGAGGGGTAATTATGAGGCTTGAGGAGAACGATTGAAAGGAGAGTTTGAGTGGAAAAGGAAATGGAGAGGCTTTAGAAATCAAAAAAGAAGACGTTCTCTCTGGATCCCCATCCTTTGTGGACTTCAGATCACTTCTCGTTCGTCAGGCTGCTAAACGGACTGCTTTGGCATGGCCTGGTGCGTATATCACGTCAATGGAGCACATGGGAGCTTAGGGAACGATGGGAAAGTAGTGAGGAGGCACAGTGAGAATGGATTACCACCATGTGAGCTTGAAGGCCTTCAGATCAAAGCATTTTACTCTATCTAATTTGTGTGTGTGTGTGTGTGTGTGTGCACATGTATGTGAGGCACTGGGTGGGTGGGAGACACCCTGTGTTTAGATAAGCCCAGAGAGTTATTAGCCCTGCTGGGAGAAAAGGCCATCAGTCTAACGCACAGCCCCAGATAACAGCCATTCCCCTGACCATTATCATTACAGGTTAAGCTACAGCAGCCTGCCAGTTAAATTAATTGGGGCTAGGAGAAATGACACAGACAAAGAAGAATGGAGAAAACGAGTTGATAAAGAGGCCGAACGAACACAATCCCAGTGCACTATTGTAAGAGTGAGAGCAATAACAAGCAGGCTAATAGGCAGAAGATACAGAGGTTGTCAGATGGTAAAAGGTGAGATTTCAGAGATACATGGAGAAAAACGTAACAGTGAGAGAAAAAAAAATTGAGGGCGAAAGTACACAAGAAAACACTGGCAATAAATCAAGTGGATGACTTGTGGGGAAGATCAATATAAAAGGAGAGATGGGAAATTTCATCTTCCCCATGAAGCAAATCTACAATGTCTTTGTCATCTTACAAGAACACTGTAAAGCCTTACAGAAAACATAATGCAGCTACTACTACTACTACTAGACACTAAAGAGACTCTTAAGATACCAGAACTTTTTGGTGCAAGTCAAGTCTCAAGTCATTGGGGGATTCAGTATTGGAAGAGAAAAAGTTTGATCCATGCATTATTATTCTCAAGTCTAAAATCTTTGAGAGAAAGTTCAGTTTTTTGGGATCAAGTCAAGTCTTAAAAGTCCAATGTGTAACATGTAACAGAAAGCTCTAGTGGCAGAAATTAAGTATAATATGCATAACTATATTTTCATTAGTGTATAATTATCTGAAAATAAGAATTATTATGTTGTGGAGTGTGATAAGTGAGGAGACAAGAGACGGAGATGCGTCGAGTCAACTTTACTCTCCACTTCAAATTAATTATATCACTTGTAACAGCGAGTGAGTGAGAACTGCAACACAACACAACCCGAAACCAGTACACCTTACCAAACCACTCCCTTAAAGGTACAGTCTCTTGGTGAATGTCTCTTAGTGTTCATTGTGGGTCACCACAATGTTGTTGTTACCTTAGAATGAGTCTTTTATATGTACAAATGCAGCGGGTCACTTTCCATGGAGGCTGCCATATTCAACAGTTATGTTTCTGCAGTAGCCCAGAACTTAAATTCTTAAGGCAGTAAGTCACAATTAAGATAAGTCTCAAAAGTCAAGTCTTAATTGTTTCATATGATTCAAACAAACTGGTTCGTCTCAGGCTCAAGCGTTTGTTCATGTTCAGAATGGCCATGTTTGAGGCAGGGCAAAAAATATCACAGAAAGGGGCGAGATGCAATGATTCGCGCAAATGTGGATGATGGCACTTTTTTGGTCATTTTCTCTTCAAAGACATTCATGGTATTATTTTCACCTACTGGTGTTGTACACACAAAAGCTGACCGACATAGTCGTGTGAAAAATGCAAAGAGAATTTGAGGGGAAAGTTTAAATCCTGCATACATTCTCACCTACACACACCTGGCCGGCTGCTGCACGAAGTGGGGATGCCTGTTACGGTCGGCTTTTGAAAGTGACAGAAATTGTGTAACAAAAGGTGGACAAAGGGCTTTGGGAAAGGGGCTCAGACACTGTTTGATGATACGACAAACGCTTTGTTCGAAGCATACTGATGCCTTCAGGTCTACTGTTCTGCTACAAAATTAGTTCACCTCAAATACTTGTGTGTCTGCTGGCTGGGTTGAATGAGGCAGATGTGCAGCAGAGAAAGATTTTTGTGAGGGGTAAAAATAAAGAGACAGAGAACAGGGGGACATGGTTAAACCTTTGCGAATATTGGCGTCAATTTCGCCAACCTGTGTGTCAGCCTCGCCTTCATTTGTGTCATCTCCTCCAGCTCTGGCTCCTCATCCTTCTTCTGTCCCCCTCCGCATGTCAGGATGGCTGACCGTTTGTTTGTCACTAGCAACCCGCAGGCTCAGGGAACACTCCATCGACCTCTGTTCAGAGGTGGTGGGAGTGATGTGGGGGCGGGGGGTGGAGGTGATAACGTGTTGTGCGTGATTATCCTATCGAAACTCTGTCAACAGGTTTTGACCTGCTCTTCGAGTTGTGTGTGTCTGTGTGTGTGAAAGGAAAGTTAAGGAGGATATAAGGTAGGAAACACTTAAAGCCTGCTCCTTTCCTCCCAGCAGCAACATCTCAGGCAGTGCTCTGTGCCGAGCTCAGATGAGACTCAGATCAACAATCTAGTCTTGTTTGCTCGCGGCTGTCATTTTCCAAGGCGCTGTTAGAAGGCAGCATAGCCAAAATACCATGTTTAAAACTTCGCACTCCATTAACTGTGCAATCACGGCCAAGGGAATGGCTTTGTAATAACCTCGGTGTGACAACTGCCTGCATCTCTCTGTCTTACAGTCTGCCTCTCCACCAACGCCTCCATCACCTCAGCCCACTTTCACCTGAGTCATTTCCTGCTTGTCTGCATATTTATCCCCCCCCCACCACCACCACCACCACCACCGCCCGCTCTTTCAATAAATCTTTTGTTATCTAAATCTCTCTTTCTTGTAATTCCCCAGCTACCTGTCTGTTTCTCTTCCTCTCTGCCTGGAGGAATTTGTCTTGAATGTCTGTTTGCTTCCTTCTTTGCTCCCACATATATCTGTCAGTCAAATAATAATAATCTTTAATGGCATGAATGTTGATGTAGCCTACATTATTGCCGAAGCTCAATTACATATTTTTGAATGTTAGATTTAATCAAAAAAAGAAAAATGTCTATCAGTCTGTTCCCTTGTTTGTTGTTATCTTTTGATACCGCCAGTAGTGCTAAGTTACTAATTACATTTACTCAACTACTGCAAAAGTACAATTTTGAGGTAGCTGTACTTGATTACATACATTTTATGCCACTTTGTATTTCTACTCGAATACATTTCTGTACAAAATTGTATTTTATACTCCACTAAATTTATCTGACAGCTGTAGTTACTTGTTACTACAAGATTTTCTTAAAAAATGTTATCTTATAAAATAAAATGCATTGTTAAAAATTCAATTAGTACTCAACCCTTTTTGTTTGTGAGCAGAGTGTAGTTGGGGCCACATTTTAGATGTCTATGTGGTTCATACAAAAAGAGATTTGTCACTAAACTTCTCACATTCTGTCATTTAAATAATCTATAATAATATCAAATGACAAAACAATGTGTCATGTGAAAGCTCCTAGTGATAAAGCTACAGAGAATTATCACCTGAATCTGCAGCTCCCTTTGGCTTTACAGAGAATTTCAGCTTATTGTTTAGTAGTCCAGCCTGCATCTTTACTGTTTTGGTTATCACTCACTGCTCTCATCTTTTTCAGCTGCAGGAAGCAACTGTTTTCAGCCTCATCTAAAAACCCACTGTATGCTACTTGCTCAGCATCAAACAGCAGACAGACACAGTTAGTGACTAGTTGGTGAACTAAAGAGCCAGATATTTCTCTCGGGAGTTGGTAGAGACCAAAGACAGAGCTAATAAAGAGTGAATATGGGACTTACATTCATCAGGTTTCTAAAAATATGACTCCAAATTAACGACTCCAAATCTTGTTCCATAACAGCATCAGTCAGTCAGTATTGAAACTTGTTTCTGCTGCCTCCAAGTAACCAGAAGACTCAGTTATTGCAGGTTAAAATTTCCTTCCTTTTTGAGGTGAAAAAATAAATAATTATTTACTATGTCAAGCAAAGCAAAGACTAGAAAAATTTGAAAAGTGCAATAAAAATGAATAAAAGATTTTGTAGCAGAACTTGTTTTCCTCTCCCATTAATCATGTCATGACCCCTCAGATTTATTTTGTGATCCATTGGCAGGGCGTGACCCTTAAATTGGGAACCACTTGGCTAAACTACTGAACTGAATATTTTTACATTGTTGTGTTAGTATTTTTACTCAAGTAAAGGATCTGAGAGCTTCTTCCACTACTGATCTTTCTTTCTTCCTCACAGTTTCTGTTTCCTTTCATCAGCCACCAACAGTTTCCCGTCACCTCCTGATTTTTCTTCCCTGTTTCTGCCTCGCTCTTTGTAGGTGGAGTGGAGCTGGGAATCAATGCAAGCGGACAGAGACTCAAACACTGGTTCGAGTGTCTCAAAAACAAAGGGAAGAAAGTGGAGTTCTGGCATACGCTCACACAGCAAGGAGCCCCAAGCAGTGACAAACCGGACTAGATTACACAAGACATTCATGCACACAAGCACACTCAAACACACACACTAACACACACACACACACACACACACACACACATTTGTCTCACTGAAAGATGGTAATAGAGATCAAGTAAAGCAGTGACAAGAGCAAAGGATAAAAACATGCAATAATAATAATGTTGAAAATGAAATCCGTCATATAACGCCAATGATTACAACACCGAGTATTAGTATATGATATTCATACTAATATTAGTGATGGTAATATTGTGTATCTGAATACATTTTTTTAAATGTATTTTTTTCTAAAGGTGAACCAAATTGTGACAATGTCCTCATTAAAGTGTTGACGTAACAAAACAATACTCACAGAATTGTGCTTTAGACCTTACTGTATTGTGGAAGTCACTCATATTCTGTCATTCAAATTTACGTCTAATGAAGAGATTTGAAACTAATGTACTCAAAATTCATTCAGTGAAAGGGGCCAAAAGTATGTGCGTCCTAGTGACTCATAATGTGGTATATAGTTCCAGGAGGGGGGATGTTACAAAAGGGTGATTCTGTTCTGAGAAGTCTCTTATGTAGTGGTTGTTGATCTGATGCAAAACAACACACCGTATTATAAAGCACAAAATGATCCATTTGGTGGATTTGTACCTTTACTGTTTTCAGTGTTTTTATGTCTTTCATTGTCTTTCAGTGACAGTGGCTTTCTATACACCTTCATATCAGACATTAACGTGTCAGTATATGTGTGTGTGTGTGTGGTAGGTGTTGTGGTGTGTGTGTGTGTGTGTATGAGGGCTATGAGAATATGAGTGCCTACATTTTCTGTCTGTGCAGTGTCTTGTCTGTCTGCATTCACGTCGTGCCCCATTCAAAATGTCTCCATCCAACTTCAGAAGCACAGAGGTGTGAAGAAATAATAACAAAGGACAAGAAAGACACATACAAGAGAGAGAAATCCTCTGTCACCACCACCACAGGCCTCAGTGGTGTGAGTGTTCCTGGCTGGAGGACACTGACAAGCTGTCAATCATGGGTGCCAGACCTTTGCCATCCCTTTCTCCCATTGCCAGACAGTCATAGAGCAATGGAATAAATCTTGATACATAACCTCTGACCGCTCTTTTTGACTTTCCTTATAAAGGGATGAAGTGGTGTCCGAGGCAGGCAGAACGGATATTGCTTTAGAAGGTACCGTTTGTACTTTCATTTTGCTGCAGCATTATGAACTAGATTTCAACAGGATCCAAGCAGGTTTTACCTCAGTGGCTCCAATTCTGCTCCAACAGAGTTCACATATGATGCGACATTTCCGCCCTGCATATCCATCAGTAATATATTAATTTGAAAATTCAGGGATTTGATTGGTCCTGTTATCTGATTTCTGAGAATAGGGCTGCCAAAAGCTAGAAGAGCTGCCCTAACCCATCTCTGTACACCCTCTGATACACTCTCTTTGAGAGGATCGTAAAAAAATATGTAAAAGAAATTGGGCTGAAATCAACCATCAGATGGCTGTGATCATTATTTCTTTCACCCCATTACTTCTAACCTATTAAATATTAGGTCTATAGTGGAACATATTTCATCCTCTAGACAGCAGACAAGACCACTGGGACTACTGTGTCCATGTCTGTGGCACAGGATTGCCTGCTGAGATAAACTGTGTGCAGTTAGTAGAAATGTACCCCCCCCCCACACTCACACATACAATTTAACCTCAGGAGGTAAAATGGGATTACACTCGCATGGAAACACATTTGGCATCAGGGGACAGTGGATAATCACAGACCAGGATCCAAGATATTGGAAATCAGCGCTAAATTGAACATTTAACCCGCATGTGTGTTACATATCTCTATGCACATCTCTGCATACTGAGGGTGTATATGGGCTAGACTATCACTGAATTGTCTAAATGTCTGCCAGGATATCAAATGTACTCCCCCGGTTCACCTGTCACTACAGCTCTGGCCATACACTGGTTCACAAAAGCACACCCACAGTCGGTCAGTGGCCTCCGGGAGTTTTCTAACTGTTGAATCGATCCGGCTGCTCATATTCTTGTTGTCCTTCAACAACCTTGTGTCTCATCGTTGACTGCAAAAAATGGATCCTTTGGTGGTGAATTAGGTTTCGAATAAAAAGGGCTTGGGCATTATCAAAGCTGGGAACTAAACTATGTGCATAATAGGAAGATTAAATACATTTTCACGTTAGACCATAAAGGACTTTAACGAGAGGGTTGGGCGGGGGGTTTATTCTGTACTTTTTCTATGCACATCGAAACACCCAGCAGTCAGCAGTGAGATAATCAAACCAAAACAACAACATTATCGTGTTATCCAGGCATCAAAGATACATTTCTGGGAATACTCAGTACTTTGATTGGGGCTAGGCTGGGTGACAGTGATCTAATAGAGTTCACATTTCTGGCTGGATGGTGGCTTATTCCTGTCTGTGGATCTGTTGGTTTTGTTTACAGTCACTGAATTTTCTGACTCTTGTCTATTGACCCCGCTTTGCTTATGTAATCATTTTATCTGCAATACAGCTGCATGTTTAGCAATCACTATCAGCTTGTATAATAGAGTGCAACTTTAGCTGATCATTCTGAATGCTGATGTGTTTACAGTCGATGCCATCCATTCAGTCTCTTACCATCAGTGTGTATTTGTTTGTTTGTGAATACGATGATTCAGGGTATTTTTTGCTCAGTTGCTGTGCTTTACCAAGCAAGCTATTGATTTAAAAAAAACAAAACCTTTACTGTCACATTTTGACACTTGTCTTCCTTAAATTGATATTAAAGTGGTAATGATGCAAGAGGGCAGGGGCGAATGAGACTGGGAATTCACTACTGCAGTCCCTGTGCATTCACTGTCAATGTCAATCACACAGTATGGCTGCCATCCTGTGGTGGGTTTGTGTAACTACTTCGCAAAATAAATTGAAGTTGTTTCAGTGGTCGTCTGTCTTCCTTTGAATGATCCACGTTGTGCTTCATTCTTCAAAAATTTAAGGCAGGCAGCCGCGTGTGTTGTGTAAATGTGTGTTTATTTATTGTCATCTTTGAAAACAATACACATATTTGTTGTTTTTAGGGTGACTGCTAACAGTAACTACTTGAAGCAATACTGATATTGAATTTATATTGTGTTATATCAAGTTTGAATTTTCAGAAAAAGCATAGTAAGACGATTACATGACTTCTGATTCTACCAGACAGCCTTCCTTTACCATATATCTGTTTCTTTCCTGCCCATTTCCCTTCTGTTATATCACATTTCTCTCTTTTCTCTATTTGTCTGTCCCCCTACTTCTTCTCTCTCATGGGTCAGTCACTCTGCCAATGAAGAGTGGCACATTGGCCAGGTCACTCCACAGCAGCATGACGAAAGGCCGCAGAGCAGAGAAGGAAGGGAAGGAGCGAGAGAATGAGAGAGTGGTGACAGCCCCGGCCTCAACTCCTTGTTCGGTCAGGGCAAGGAAGGCTCTGTGTCTGGCATCGTCCAGAACCAGCTGCTCTTCGGAGTAGAGGCCACACAGGTTGGCGCTTTCGAACAGTGATGACAGTCCTGGTCAGGGGGGAAAATGGGAGGGAAAAGTGAAGAACAATAATGGTGGGGAAAAAGTAGGGAGGGAAGCAAGTAAGTGGATGAGATACAGAGAGATCAAAGAGGAGATGGCAAGACATATTTCACAAATGGTACTTAATGGCTGTCTACTGGCTGGTACTGGCTGAAAACACGGCTGCTATTCATTCTGTGGTGTGACTAAGCTGAGTCTGACAGACAGAAAAGAACATGAAAGATAAACAAACCTAATTTCTTGAGGAGTATGTTCATGTCTGGCTGGACATCCAGCTTGATTTGGGGCAAAGTGACCTCGAGAGGCTGAGGAGGCACCGTTTTCATTTGTTCTATCATTTGTTTCACAGCTGTGTCCGTCATCCTCTCCTCCAACTGCTGCAGGTCAGACACTGTGTTGGAGCGAGGCAGCAGGATATAAAGACTGCTGTCACCCGAGAGAGCAAACCTCGCCACCTGTTGGGGAAATAAAATAAAACCAGACTGTGTTACTGTACAACAGGGGTTTTCTGTACAGTCTAACACAGTGGGCCCTCTTCAGACAAAACTGAGACATCTGTGCCCCCATCATGTATACTTTCCTATAAATAAAATACTGATAGTACACACATAAAGGTTATTTATGAATTTTGTAACTTGGTCCTATTATTAGGATTATTTTATTATTTTTATGGATACTTTATGGAAGTTTATTAGCGATGGACAACAAAGAGATAATATCCTCAGAAACTGTAAATCACATTGAATATAAACTATTTCATTCCTGTGTTGTCAGATTTCAATGAGTTATACCTCTGAGCAGGCACATGCACAGATAGACCTCAAATGGGGCTTAAGACCCTGCCCTTTTGCCCCAGACTGGACAATTGCCTTTGTGTCTAATGTTAATTGTATGAGGCTATAATTATTGTTGTTATTACTGTTATTCAATTAATGTAATTAGGAAAAGGTACACTAGTATCCACCAAAAATACCATCTATACTATATCTACCTCCATATTTCAAATAGTTGAATTGTTCTCCCCTAAAATAAGTATTGTATTGACCTTGTCAGGCTCTTTAACATACTGGAAATCTGTTTCGATGCCGTTAAATTGTATATTTCCTAATTTTCCTGGTAGAAACCACAGATGTCGCACAGTGACTGAACTCATCTAAACACCTAAACAATGAATTTCATGAAAAGTGTTTGAACGGTACTATGAAAGGTGGTGTGGCAACATTAGGGTGGGAATTTGTAGGTGAGCCGAGCGCTCCTTTTTTTGCCCCTGCCCCCCAAAATGTCCATGCATGTCCCTGCGTCTGATTAGTTGGCGGAATTTACGGCAATCAGTAAACTATGGGTTTTTAAGTATCTTAATTGCCTTTCACTTCATTAGGGTCTTTTTCTCACACGTCTTTCCCTCTACACCCCACTTCAACTCTCCTCACACTTTGAAAACCTCTGTGTAGTATGCGTATATGGGTGGGTTGAGATGGGTGTTGGCTGTTTGTCACCTGTGACTTAAGCTCAATGACGTGCGACATAACGGCCATGTAGTTGTTGTGATACAGGAGTGGGACCTTCACCACATCACCATTCAGTTTTGAGAAATGTCCTTTCTTGGGCTTCGGATCAAACTTGACCTTCCACTGACCTGATGCACACAATACACACAGTTTATTAGTTTCCACTATTCTGACATGCACATACACAAACTTGTGCACATACACACACACATTACTGACCATTAAAGGAGACACCGTTGAGCAGGATCAGCTGTGTACTGGGTAATATGGAGTCAACCAAATTTGTGATTCTGTTGTTGGTCTTATTTGCCACCCAGCTGTTGATCATCCGTGCGTTTTCCTCGCTGGTTTCCAGAAGCCTGACGGGCTCCACATCATAGAACTGGATAGACTGGTTAGTAAAGGACTGAGTCAGAGTCAGTTCTGAGGAAGAGAACAGAGAAACCATGATGAGCTACAGAGATTCCGATTAATTTTTATCTTTAAGAATCTCTGCATCTATCTTTTTGGCTGCCTTTCTGCTATTTTGCAGTTTTCACACAGTGATTGTAATACGTGGGTTATAGAAGATCTGAGAAGCCATGTGCAACGAGCTGGCCAACTTCTCTCTCAGCTTCTTCATCTGGAAGTGAACGCAGTAGAAGTCATGAGGCACACAGACAGCCGTCTCAATGGCTTTGCGGGTTGTACCCCTTGCCCCTGAAGATAAAAGGAAGAAAAGACGTAATGATATAGAAAGAGTACATCTGTAATTTAGACTGATAGAGAAAGCTGGAAGGCATGTCTGACATTTAATACAAGAGGAAGAAAACTCTTGTGACATTTCAAAGTGAGAAACATTTTTATATAAGTCACATTAAAATGTATCTTCCCTACATGTGCACAGGCATAAGAGGGATAATGTTGCTTGTTAGACCAAGTAATCTTAAAGGATAAGGTTGGTGTTATTCTGTATCTTTTCAACACATTCCATAAAAAGACTAAGTAGCTCAATACATTAGTGAAGGTGTAAATATTTGAAAAAAGGTCAAGAATATATACTTTTATTTGTAAAAATGGCTAAATAATTAGGCAACAGTAGTTTTTAACAAGCAATTATCAAACCAGAGATACTATCAAACTGTGTCTTTGTCTGTAACTATTATTAGTGGTGGATTTGGTGCACTAAGTGTTTCAACTGATTGTTAGTTTTGGTGTTTTTATTGGATATGTTGACATATCTTTAAAGATAATTATCATTAATTTAATTTAAAGTGAGGAACTTGCTTCATACCTAGCAACAAATGGGATAGTACACCGCTGATACTAATAGGAGAGAAGAGCAAGTTGGCTGAGGGCTGTGATTCTCTGAGGTAAGAATACAGCTTCATGGAAAACTCTGCCATGGATTCCTGCAACATGGGTTCCCCTGTGCGACTGTTCTCATCCATGCAGGGTTCCCATGCCGTGGTGTAGTTAGTGCAGGAGTAAGGAATAGGGGTAGGAACAGCTGAAAGAAAGTAAAAAATGTAAATAAATGTTAACAACACCTCAGCATTGTTTAGAAATTAATATTTTATCTATTTTGCTGATATCGTGGGTCTGCAGAAGTGTTCATTATGCTTAAAATGCTGTTAAAAAGCTTATTTGGAGCTTGTTTGTTTGCCATTTACTATAATAATGAATGGTTTCAAATAGTCCAAACTGTATAAAAGTTTGTAAAACTTACCTTCAACAGTAATCTGTACAGTGCTCAGCTTCTGCCCCTCAGCAGATTCACAAATGTAAAGTCCGGCATCCTCCATGACAGTGTTTCTGAGTATGATGCTCTGATCATGGTCCATTGGATAAAGCTGTTCCACCTTTTCATTATCATCTGTTGAACCGTCTCCAAGATTCAGTCGTGTCCTTATGCCAACAGCCGTCTCTTTGGACCAAAGTGCATTGGCACTGACTTGGCTGGAAAGTGGCAAATGGCACGGGAGGCGAATGGTGGAGCCTTCGAATACCCTAATAGTATAGGGAACTGAGGCTGTGGAGAGAGAAGCAAAGACTTTGAATATTATATAACTACCTAAATTACAATGCTTCACTTTGTTAAACAACATATTAAAAATGTATGTATGTATGAAAAAAGAGAATGTATGTTCCTCACCATCAACTGTAATCCTGTATTTCCTTATTATGTCCATATCGGTCTCCTTTACCATACAGGCATACTCGCCCTCGTGGGCAGCAGTTACAGGGGACAAAGAGAGATACAAGCCATCCTTTATAACTCTTGTCGAGCCAGGCGGTAGAGCACTTATATCATTATCTGTGTTAAAAAACAATAGATCAAACTCAAAATATATATAACTGTACTTTTATTTTTGCAATACAGTGTGAATAGTGGTGGTAGAAATATAATAAGACCATTAAATGTCCAGGTGATGGCAGTTGAAGTGAATTCAGTCTGAATTGAGAGACAGGGCAGCTCCAGAGTGGAACCACTTATCACCCGGAGATTTGTGCATGATGAAAGCTAAACAGAAACATAGTTTTAAACAAGCTGCAATATTCAAGAGTCAAGAAGGACAAGGTCTATTGTTGTTAAACATTCAGCCATTTCTTTCTTCATTTCTCAAGTTTACCTCAAAAAAGAGCTGCAGCGAAAGGCAAAGTAGGGCCTGTAGTCTCATCTAAAGCAGAGCAAAGGGAGTAAAATGAGATTAGCAAGTTGATGGAGCTGTTGCAAGTGAGGATTTCAAAATGAATATGGCACCAAGCCGGAAAAAGGATCAATACGTGGCGCAATCTGTGAAACATAGTGATGTTCCCCACAATTAAAACTTTAAACTGTGACCGTCTAGTTACAGCTTCCATTTGCACTAAGTACATTTCTGTCAGAGATTAAACCCATCAAAAACTTCACAGTTATAACAGTATGCATAATATACTGTAAATAATATTGCTTTGGTTCAGTGATTAATCAACAAAAGAAGAAACACATTAAGTAACTCACACCTCTTCAATTTCCAAATGTATCCAAATTCAGTCACCAGTATGTTTTGGGGTTTGTTTTTACCAGCAATGTTTCTGCCACCCCGACCAGTGTTCACTCCATCTACCACCTCTGACTGTCTGCTCCTCTAAACTGCAACCAACAATGACTAATCTGTGATTGTTGGTTTAGAGATGTTTGTTTGCTTAATGCAGGTCTTCTGACTTGCTGGAAATCACATGATTTCACATGTTGGCAACAGATACCAGGTAGGATGATTTATATTCCTGCTTTCATTTAGCCTCCACTGCCTTTAATTTTTGAATTGCAAATAGGTTTATTATTTATTATATTAGTGCTTAAGTCCATCATCACTAGTGGAATTAGGAGTTGGGGTGAATAAGCAGTTTCCCTTTGGCTTTATTTTCAATTTGCATAATAAAATGTTTTTGCTTGAAGTGTTTTACATAATGTGATTTTGCCAAAGGTTGCATGGAGTACTACACAGACAAGGACATTGTAGAAAGTAAACACAAGCTGAGTTTGTGCTAATTGGCAGAAAACAGTGTTGCCACATTTGTGGACGTCAACCCTAACATTAATAAAGTTGAAAAACAATATATAAACTCTATACTATACCTTGTAATGTATAATTACCAAACAGTAAAGAAGATAAAGACCCAACTGTAACAGTGGCATTAAAATAGAGATTTCAGTGGGACAGTTTTTAGAAAGTTCGTCTTTAGACGACACTAGTTTGAACAAGTGATGTTGATTCATTTAACCAGGTCTTCATCAACATGCCAAAAGTGACAATAAACTGTATATGTATTTTAAAACAACTTATATTTAAATAAACACCACCTATATGTAACTTTTAGTTGAGTAGGTCACTTTTGTTGGTAAAGTGAAACATGTATGTGAGCAAACAGTGCAACAATATCTATTCATATATTACATCCAATAATTTAATTGTTTTAACAGTTTTTATTCCATACATTTTTGCCTTTACTCTGCCATACTTAATATTTCATTTTTATTTCAGTTCTCTTCTGTCTCACTCTTTCCCTTGAGAATATATCATAAAATGTGATTGTCTGCTCACATACCTGTACTTTTATCTTAACAAAAGTTTAAGGAACAATTTTATATTATTACAACTAGTTTGATTGAAGGGAACTGACAACTCTCATCTCTCATCTTATGGTGCATAATGGTACATTTACTCAATACTGCGCTCAAGTACAAATTTGAGGTACCTCTAATTTCTTTTCATGCCTCTAATACTTTCTACCACACTACACTTGAGCTGGGAATATTCTACATTTATTTGACAGCTGTATATATATATATATAT